TACCATGAACACAAAGAACAACCAGATAATGTCCATTATCTCAACTGCTGTCCCCAGTAGAAGTACTAGAGATCAGTGGGCCAGTCATACCTAATGGAATATTTAAGAAAACTATGATAGTAGTGTAGCAATTCCTGTGCCATGTGGAACTGTATTTAATGATTCTTACATTATGAGAAGGTAAACATTGACATCAAAATGTCGGTGGAAAATGTGCTTTGCGGAAAGGTGAATGCCTTTTTCCTGAATCATTTAATGATGGACCCATCCCTTCCTCTCCTTAAAGGAAGGGAGAGACTATGGAAATGTTGCTGGCAGACCTCAGTTATTTCAATCAGGATTGCCTGAATGTTTCTTCAGAAGTCATCTTCTACCGGATAAGAACAAACAACCAGGGGCTGAAACTTCAGAGGCAGGCTTATCCCTACATAAGCATGTTGTCCAGACATACATTGACTCCAAAAACTATAATAATAAAACAAATACCAACTGGATGTTCTAATGGCAAAACGTACATTAATCTGCACACAGGGCTAGTTTTTCCAGAAATGTGTGACGTGCTAGTCAGCAAACTATTTTTCATTTCCACATGCTTGTATATAAGTTCCAAGGAATAAACCACAACGCAGCTATTCGGGAATGATGAAATAAAATATGTTGAAGGATGAGAAAGTTGAGGTTCAAGGAGACCTGGGTGCACCGAGTAAGCTGCTTAAGCTTTCTGATAAGACAGGATGTGCGTGGCTGAGAGGTCAAAAGGCACCACTTCCTGTGACGGGGCCTGGGAACCACAACTCCCAGTCTCCAGTTATGACCCAGACAGAAAACAGGACAACAAACCCAAATCCTCCTCCCTATGATGGTGTAACCTCTTGGTCAGAGAGTACTCATATTCTCATAGATATGACAACTTTCTTATCAGTAATTGAAAACTGGGCCTGTCTGTAATGCAATAGTTTTCCCAGATAATGACAATGGCTCCATCTGCCTGCCAGGACACCATGAGTGATATGGGCTATATGTTGCCTCACAAAATTGCAAAGTAAGTAATTGCAAATCAAACAAGTCATTCTAAACATCCCACTTTCAATGCGACTAGGCTGACAGTATTGTTCAGTCGGCATTCCTGAAGGGGTTACCAGGGGGAATGGATGGGAGGTATGGACAATAACCTGAAAGCACCAGAGGGACAGGAGGAATCTTAGTAAGCATTCCTTTCTAATCCACCATAAAGATGCCAAAGAAAACACTAGCCCTGAGGTGATCCGAACTAAGCTAACAATATAATCGGTCCCTTTGCTATGGTCTGTCAGTAAATATGTGCCTTGGCATCTGTGTATACTTCCACGTCTTGGGGAATTCTGTTTTGAGAGAATTAACCTAAAGGTGGCACATTTACATTTGGACAAGTTGTACCCTCCCCTGAGAAAATGTGTTTTATGCTTATGAAAAAAAGAATAAGGAGTGCCTGTACTTTCTAAACACACACACAGTTCTTGCACTCCACACTCACTGGACAGTCTGCTCGCTGTCAAAGTCAAAATAAGTCCTCTTTCATCATGTTCTAGAGGCTGGGAGTTGCAAGGTCATAACAAAACACTCACAATTTATAAGTTAATTCTGCTGCTGAGGCCAAGGGCAAACTATTTAAAAAATAAAGAGGACCACTGAGTCCATCCATGGGCCGCACGCAGCGGAGAAGCCTCACATGTATTTATTTTCAGCTTGGGGAGTCTGACAGGAAGATATCGGTCGTAATCTGCGATCTGCCACTGTGTTGAGAGACGGAGGCAGAGGATGAGCCGCCAGAGCTGGGACGCCACGCAGAGAAAAAAAAAGTGGTCCTTGTTGCCACTGCTCTGTGAGAGACGCAACATGTGCTGGGGGGACTGTGTGCTACCGGCTTCATTCCTCCACGAGCTTGTCTCTCACAGTATGGGGGCGGCTGACTGCTCAATGGCAGCACCTGGCCCTATGCTTCCCCTTTGTCAAGATCTGACTTCACTGGATTACCATCACAACATCCACCAGCTGTCCTCTAGGCGTACCCCCCCACACACACACACACTCCCTCCCCCTTACCCAGCCTTCCACTACCCGTTCCCCACCCCCAGTCCGATCCCTCCAGCTGGTTCCTCTCTGAATGACACCCACTCAATCTGCCTAATTATCTCTCCTCCGGCCACGTCGCTGTGGCCCTCTCAAAGCCATGCAGCACATTCTGTTCACAGGGTGGAGCTAAGGGGCCAAAGGGTCTTTAACTGGACTTCCTGATTGCTCACCTAGAAGGCCGCACTCTATGTGACACGATCAACCCTTCACTGTCAAGTTCAAAACTCTGGGCCACACTAGCATCATAGAAAGAATACTTCAAACATGTTCATTGTGTATCAAGGAGAACAGTGTGTCAGAAATATAAAACCTCACAGTACCAGAAAGGAACGTACTTTGAATCTAAGCCATGTTGATTACAATTTAAAATGGTGTAAACCTGGATTGCAGAGTTGCTGTCTCTTGGAACTTTCACCTATTGAAAAAAAGAGCTTCCTTGTCAATGGAAAGCGAACTCATTCTACCCACATTAATTATACAGTTTCTTATACAAACTCATCTATGACATTGATTCTGAGCTCAACATGAGTTGACTTATTTCACACTGCTGGCCATAAGTTAATATTGGATTCACATATCCTCAGTTGACCCGGGGTTACAACCATAGTTGTTCCAACTCTCTGCAGTGTTTCAAATGGCTAATTTAGGTGCAATTGATTTCCTGTACCTTAAAACATGTATTACTTTAGGAAAAGTAGATCCAACCACAATTGTTCCATCATGGCCAACCATCATTGCAATCACAATTCAGTTGAAGCCAACCTGCAGGCAATGGAAGTGAAACCTATGTCTGGAGCTGGGTCATGGAGCCAGCTTGGAATGCTCATTTAGTCTAACAGCATTAGCTGGGTTTTACTGTGTAACTGGGAGAGTTGAAATGGGTATCAGAGTGTTCACTTGAACTGTTTACAACTTTAGTCACCTATCAGCAGCTCTGGCCTGCAATCTTTACAAGACACCCGAGGAGGAAGACAGACACATAAAGGAACTAACAAGATAAAGAAATATTCTTAAATGTTGAAGCTACAGTGTGGTATCATTGTTGTTTTCCAACCAGACAGAGGATACATAGGTATCTAGGACAGTAACAATGGTAGCTGCCACAAGCTTGGTATTAATGTCACTTGAGCAGCTACAAGCCATAAGAAAATGAAATAACATGAATATTCTCTGCGTAAAACAATGTGAGTGGTTCTCCGAAACGAAAGTGACGATGTCAAGCAAGGTTATTTCTCTACTGGTTCTCAGAACCGTTCAAAGACCAAAACATGTATCTGTATCTGCATTTCTATCTCTCTACTCTGTATTGGCTTGCTTTGCTGTGGCCTTTCTTTTCTACCTCTCTGCACCCTGTTCTGATGGTGCCAGGTTACAGGCAGGTATCTGGTAGAATAAAGGATCTTTTCTGCTGTTTTGGAGCTCCTGTTTCTGTAGGCTCCCAGGGGAAGGGGTGCGGTGGCTCCAGCACTAACCTCTGTCTAGAGACTGGTCTGACCACTCTCATGTGTCCACGCTCCGTTGCTCTGCCCTGCTATGGGACTCTTTCTACACTGTGTGGTAGGACATTTGATGTCCCCTTCTATTAGAAATCCCCTCCCTTTACCCTTGAAGTGCTTCATTTTCTTGCCAATTAACCAGTCAGGTGATTACAAATGCCCTATTCCTACACTCCTAACATATATACACCCCCCTGCAGAGCGTGAAGAAATAAAGCAGCACAGAGAAAGAATGAATGATGCCCTTTAAAAGAAACTCATTAAATCTGGAGATTCCTATACACTTCTCAAATATGTAGGTTGTGATCACTTTCATTCGTTTTTTTTTTTTTTTTTCTGTGTGGTGCTGAAAATAAATGATTACCCCAGAAAATGATCTTGGATATGTTAGAAAAAAAAAACCTGGCTGCATACAATTAGACATTGAGTTACTTAAATGACACTCACCCATCTTGGCTCCAGCTAATGATTAAAGAAATCTGGGAGGTAGTTACTTGTTGCACATGCAGTAGAGTTACACATTGGCAAGTGTGTAATGGCAACTTCTGATCAATCATTTTAAAGAACTATGAACATGTTTAAAAAAAAAAAAAAAAAATACATATATATATATATATATAATTGAAAACAATGTGCCGTGGTCTTTTCTTGTGAAAAGCACATTCCTTGTTGGCTCAACTTTGTCCTGGCAATTGTAAACTGCTAGTCCACTCCAATAAAATAATAAATGTAATGTCTTGGAGGGAAACAGCTGGCAAACAAGGTGTTTTTGTTCTATCAATCACTGTATATCTATCATCTGAAACACTCAGGCATGTTTCCTAAGCTAAACTGTTCTTAAAAATAACAAATGACCGCCGGGCAAGACACTGTAGGCTATTTAACTCGACCATTGTAAGAGGTTCCCACACAACCCCCCTCACCAATTTGGAAAACAAAAGCTTCATCACTGTTAAAAGATGTGAGAGCTCAAAACTGCCCAAAGCAGGCAGGAAACAAAGAAAAATCACAAAAAAAGGTCTAAAAGCATTGCAAAAACAGTAAGACACACACCAGGAAAACTGTACTTGCTTTTGAGGAAAAGCTGTGAGTAAATCTGACGAAGCTCTTAAACAACAGGTGCAAAGCCAACATGTTGATGCTTGATGGTGCTTGTGAATCAATCTGTTATATCTTTCACCAGAGCCAACAGAACATTTGGAAAGCATATTCACTTCATGTTTAAGTATCACACTGAAAATAAATCTTTCCCCTGAACCTTTGAAGAACCAACTCACAAATAACAGCCTGTCAATTTAAACACAAGGCCTACACTTGAAAACCTTTCAAAAGCTGACTTAAAGAAGTATTAAGGCAGGATAAATCACAGATCTTTACATCATTTCCACTTACATGCATCGAGAGGGTGAATCTAAGCATGTCCCTCCATTATCACAAGGTTTGAATTTATCCAGGCATCGGAACCCTGTTGAAATTGGAGAAATGTGTTAGACAACCACACAACTGACAAAAGACTTTAACATTAGGGGAACCTGTAATTCATCCTACTTTTTAAATATCTTTTAAATAATGTTAAAAAAAGAGTATACAGAATATATTAATAAACTCTTTGTAAAGTATCTTTGAATTACCCAAAGTAATGTAAACTCTTTAAACTCCTGGATTTCAAGCATGTCTAGCTTGGCAGACTTTGCCACTTGTGGCATCTTGCAGACACACCAGCATGTTTGTTGTACTTATTTATCCAAATCAGATAACGTTTTGGTTTCCTTGAAAGAGATACATGCTGACATGAGATTGTTTCTGTTTAGAGAGAATTACATTAATATCTGACAGTCAATGCTCAACAGCTACGAGGGAAAACACATTCAGTTGTTTAAAAGGTCTTTGTTCAAAAAGGGAGGGGGTAGCTTTGGCTCATCATCCCCTGATTTAGCTTTAACAAATGATGTTCTAACATACAATCATTATATTTTTTTAACGTCTTATGTTAAGCCTCATTGCACAATACTACGATCCTCGGGAAAACTTGTATTGATGTTACAGGAGCACTTCCACACTTTGGGTTTTGTTAACTCGGTGGAGCTGCAGATGTGATATAGTTCACAGACTTCTACAACACAGAAGAAAAAGCATAATTGCAAGAAGATCAGATTTATTTTTGTTTAAATATCAATTTCTCCCCCACAGACATTGCATTTACGTGACTAAGTTTGTGTTTATAATGATTCGTTTCTTCGGTAGCCTAACGTTATCTTCTGCAGTTCAATCAGGCTACTGCAAATAGCTTTGGGACAACTTTGCAAACTATTTGTTACTCAAACTAATAATAAACCACCAAATAAAACACAAATAAAAAGTTGAAAATCTATATTTCATATAAACATGTCAGAGGGCAATAGCCCCAATCATATTTGGAACAGTATAATTTATGGCATGTCCGGACATATCCAGTCTACCACTGATGTAGAGCTTCACATATTAAATGATTTGGACTTACCGTAGCAAATTTGCATAAACAATAAAATGACAAAATAATCCATGGAATATTCCCTTCCATTTCGGTGGAAAGGTTTCCAGCGTTTCAAGTTGGGCTTTTAGTAAAAATACATCCTTTATAAAGTTCACATCAAAATAAAGGCCTCACAAAAACGAGGGGGGGGCTTTGTCATAAAGTCAGCCGGAAGGCGTAGCGGTTAGTTCACAATCTTGTATTATCCGCGCAGCCTCGGCCAAGGCTGCTGTGATTCTCGGTTACCTCCTAAAAACTATTTTGGAAAAACTGTTTGCTACAGGATCGGTCCCAGCCGTCTGGTATTACTACGCCCCTCGCGGGGGTACTCTCTATCTCGATATCTATTATCTATCTGTATCGAGTACCATAGCTTATCTCTCGTATAAGCGAGAGTCGAGACCGAGAAGAGCGATCGCGCTCTCTCTCCCTACGATCTCTCTCTATCTCTCTCTCACTCTCACTCTCTCCCTCTCTCTCTCTATCTCTCTCCCTCTCTCCCTCTCTCTCTCTATAAGACCGCTGCTCCATCCTGCTTCCCAACAGTGGGCCCCTCAGGGACTTTAACACACGACCACCACCACCCTCCCCCCACTTATTGTAAAAGTTTGGGTTAAAAAGGAAATAGAGCAATAATTAATCAATTAGCAGATTTTAAAGTAAAAGCATAGGCCATAAAAAAATGTCATCTGTGGAAGCCGTAGTACTGTAAAAAGTACGACCAATCATTTTTGCCGGCCCGGCTAAAATAACTGGATGGCCTACCTGCCTGTCAGCCTTCCATCGGGGCACAAACTTATCTCGTGCCCTCATTGGTCATGTGCGCGTTCGTGTGTGTTGGAGGAGAGGCTCTGTAAGGAAGTGGCAGATTTTCTCCGGTTGTGTATTTTCAAATTCTAGCGATCTCGAGCCGGTTTCTCAAATGTACCTACCCCACCTTTAAAGAATATTTTTTAAACTGTAGAGAAAAAATATATCAAGAATTGAACCAAAAGCTAAATAAAAACCTGGAAAACACTCATATAGCTCATAATATCTTATCAATATTTCATGCTAATCCTGAACCACAGAAAACTATTTTGATATTAACCCTTTCCTAAATTAACACTTTTCTTTTATGTATGACTCACTTTTTGATGTTAAACATGGTGGTTGTTTTGTACGCTGGCAATTTACCTATTATTATTACTACTATTATTATTTAAATATCCTGATGTAGTAAAAAAACAAAAACAGTCAGGACTCCTAGGTTATAGTAGCTTCTGTATTGCAGTCGATTAGCATTTGCAACAATCTTGTGCAGGCTTACTTGTTTGTTTACAGTCGGTGAATTGCAGATAAGAGAGTGAATTGTGTTGACATGATTGTAGAGAGTGCAGACATTCCTGTTATCCCCACGGCCCATGGACTGCATTTCAGCCCTGCTGTCTCAGCCTGCACCTCCTCAGCCCATGGCAATGGACTCATTTTCTGCAGCCGGCGTATAGTGCCTTGGTTGTTCTGCAGCAGAGAGCGGAGCCGGTCGCTTACAGAGACAATAGCCTTGATTTGAATCATAAAAGGAGTCCGGCATTATGACACAGTTTCTCTCTGCAGGGGAGGGCAGCACACTAATATTCAAGAACACTGCCCAAACACCACCGTCTCCCCCTTTCCATCACACTGTTTTTGGTCCTTGCCTTGAATAAATTACAGGCATGGGTAGGGCCATGAATGTAGCTGGCTGGTTTGGAGTGAAGTTCGTTAGTGCATGTGACGTCATCTATAGGGGTCAGTGAAAAGAGCTTGTTAGGCCTCGCAGACACCTGCTTCATTTGGCACCCACCATGTGATGAAGGTTTGAGTGCAAAGTTTTCAATAGCTGGATTCAGCTTTTTGTGCACAATGACATGATTACTTAATTTTGTATTCTTCATTAGCACTTGGATACTAGTGCAAATCCTCTTTCAAATCTGCCCCAATCATGCCATCTCCACACACGGCGAGGCAAGGCAAGTTTATTTATATAGCACCTTTCAACACAAGGCAATTCAAGGTGCTTTACAAAAATGAAAGACATTCAGACAAAGGCTTGTATCTAACCTGATATGTGGGCACGAGATTCTGACTGACTGTCACCAGCAACAAGTGAAAACAACACTAATCAAGGAGAAGGCTGTAATAGTATCTTACAAGTATAATTAGAGGTTTACTTCAGTTTTTATGTGGTTGTGAAACTTCTCTTTCACCCTCTGGGGATGTGGTAGATGCACTCGCAGCTCACGTTGGCAGGTGTTGAGAGTTTTTTGATTTGCTTCCAGTTGGAGATGGTCCCAAGGAGAGATTTCTCCATGTGCTCAGGGTCAGACAGTTGTTTTACAGTATGTTGCTATTTAGGGAAGTTTACAAATGCCTCATGTGCAGTGTTTGTCTGAAAAACCTTGATAATTTCATGAAAAACAGTCTTCTTCATTCCTAGCAATGTTTTCTCCACAACAATGTCACAAGTGGAGGCAGTTATCGGTCAACAAATACCAGAACAAAACTGATCAAAGAATAATTTATTGAATATCTGATTGTAGTTATATGTGTATAAAAATAATAAAACAATAGTAACAACTAAAAGCAATTAGAATACAAAGCATCGGGCATCCAATTAAATAGAAGAATACAAACAAATGACTTGAATCAGGACTTCCAATACTCTTCACTCAAAAGCTAAAATGCTTTATTTTAAAGGATTACAATCTGTTCTCGTTAGTTTAAGTGGCTGCTCCAGCCTTTCCCCGTGGAAATATGACCTTTACTTGATTGTTTCGGAAAAGAAAGAGAACAGTGAAGTAAGTCTTGTGTGAAAAACAGCAGTAGGACAGGCTCTGGTTTCTTTGCGGGATACTCTCCTATACCATAGTCTGTAAATATAATTAATTTCATTTAATTAATTCTTAATCATGTGAAATCTTTCTTTCCTTATACCTCTTCTATCCCTCGACATCTCTCTCTCACACACACACACACACACACACACACACACACACACACACACACACACACACACACACACACACACACACACACACACACACACACACACACACACACACACACACACAGAGGAAACAAGTCAGTGTTTTGTTTGTTTTAGAGAGAGAGTGTGAGAGTGGAAGCCCTGGCGACAAAGTTCTCGCGCTGGGCACAGGGGGATTCTCTAATCACACAAACATGGAGGAGACAGGTCAGGATTTATAACTCTGTTCTCTGTTGGAGAGAGAGCAACACTCCTCTTTGAACAGTTGTTAGCATTGCTCGTTGTTAGTAGGTGTAAATCTGAAGAAATAGCATGACTACTTTTAATCAGGACATCTTAGTTTACACATTTAATGTAGAACCTGTCCTTTTGTAAACCCAGCTGTACAAAGCACTCTGTAATTCTTCCCTTTGAGCATTCGATACCTTGGGATAACAAGCACTATTGTGACGCACTTTGGTAACAGAAAGGCTTTCATACAGAACTGCATGTGAATCATACTGTACGTTTGCAGTGTCAAGAGTGAAAGCTGACCAAAGCCTGTTAAGTGAAGACCAAACATTGGTAAGAGGACAAATTGTGTACTGATAACAATTTGCTTTTCAACCCAACATTTCCTTGCACTCACCTAGCAGTGAAGTGCTGTATAACAGGGGTAAGTGAGACAAACACAATGTAATATTTTTCTTAAAAGGATTTGAGTTTGCCTGATCAAGAAAGATAAAGCTCATGGTAGCTGTGGAGGTGGACATTTTGTTTCATTTCTTGACACATTTTTTATATAAAACATCTCTGACATTACAACAGTACAGTTAGTAAGAGCCTACATGTATAGTGTGGTCAGCCAGCACCCTCTTTTTTATCCTCAGTGGCTTTTCAGGGCTAGCACGCTCCATGGTGATGGGGTGCTAACAGGCAGTGTTTGTGGACACAGTAGACGTGATGACTTTACCACCCAGGCCAGACTGATTTATGTGGGAAAAGCGCTAAGAGCACCCACAGAGAGTGTCGAGAGGATTAGAAGACCCTCTACAAGACCGGTCATGGCCAATCAGCAGCTGAGACCCCCTACAGACAGACATCGGAGCCAATTGCAGCACAGCGTTTACGTTGATGATCTGGATTGTCTCCTTTATTGCTTTTTCATAATTGTATGATCTCTTTATCATTCATGGTTTCTGGGTTAGTGATTTAGCTTCAACTGGAGTGGGCTTCCGAGGTTTTAATAGATGTAGACATTTCCGATGTTGTCTCTTTTTGTGACAAAGGCACAAGCAGCCCCCGTCAACAAATGCGCACGCACACACACACACACACACACACACACACACACACACACACACACACACACACACACACACACACACACACACACACACACACACACACACACACACACACACACACACACACACACACACACACTGTATCCCACAGTGATAAGATAGCCGCTCTTTGTTTCTGCTCTGGCTCTGGGACATTAAATTAGGAAAGGAACACCTCTGCTTTTCCCATGATCCTATACACTTTCGGTTGTCCAGCCCCCTTTACCATTGTTTCAAGAAAATACACGTAAAAGAAACAGCAAAGACATTTCTGTAGTAGTTGAATATAGGAAGGAAGTATTTAAGTGTATGTTTTTTCTGTTATTGTAGAAATTGTGTATTTATGGATTACATTCATATCATTCAGTCATTGTGACGTCAAGTTTTTTTAAATTGTTCATTTAAAAAAACAAAACATGAAGCTTTCCTAGCCCTTCATTAACTAATTTATCATGATGCAAAAAAAACCATTGTCTACTGTCTTTGTCTAGTTCTAGAGTTTGTGTTACTTTCTGTATTCGCTCTCCGTGATCCCTTTCGTCTTTTCCATTTACAACCACTCTGTGACACACACACACCCACACACACACACACACACACACACACACACACACACACCCACACCCACCCACACACACACACACACACACACACACACACACACACACACACACACACACACACACACACACACACACACACACACACACACACACACACACACACACACACACACACACACACACACACACACACACGGTGACTTCGAGACTGGGGCTTTTTGCCTAAAGTAAACACATGTGAATGATGGATCTTTCTTTGGATTGTGGGAAAAA